GTTAAATTAAAATAAATTAAAAAAAATAACAATTGTAAGCTTGCCTTTAACTTCTTTTTTTCTGAATCATAAAGTAACATTATTGCTGTTTTGATTGCATTAGCTTTAACTAAATGTGCTGTGGGATTCAAATACTCTATAATTTCAATTAATTCAGTGTCTTCAATTATATTAAATAGGCGTTGACGATTAATAATCCAGGCAGCAAATATATCACAAAGCTTTATATTATCAATATCAACCAACATTAGGTCTTTAGGATTCTATACAATATTTTTCAAATTAGATTAGCTTAAAATTAATAGAACTAACTAGAGTTCTGCAAGTGCTAGACACGATACTATTAAAACATAATGTCTGTACTAGGCATTATGTTTTAATAGTATCATACCTGGCACTTTCAGAACTCTAAAACTAACGTTTCTAAATGCATTGTCAACAGTACCACATTCACTTTGTGTTTTCCTTTTTTTTTTATTAAATTCCTCTGTTGTGACATACTGAGTCCAGTGTGCACTTTCTAAGTAGCGCTATAGTGTCCTAGTTGAGCCTCCCTTTCTACAAGAAAACTCCTTATATTAGCACTTGGATACTGTACATTTAGCCATTTTTTTTTCTTTTTGCTATACAACCTTTTTAAAAAAATTCCACATCTCACTTCTATTACTTCACTTGCTAGTTACACTACAAATATTATCAGCATCATTACAACAGTTATTACTATAGCCGTTGTCATAGTCATTATCAAGGTCGTTACTATAGTCATTATCAGAAACATTTGATGTAATTTCTATAGACATAAAACTTATTATTTGTTAGCTAAATTTTTTTTTTTTTTTTTTTTTTTTTTTTTTCTTACTTAACCTAATCCAATTCAAGATAATCTTCTAAAAACTTCCTTATAAATAATTGTCTTTTATAAAATAAATTATCGCGATCAATATTACACTATTTATCCTAATTATATGTCAAATTCAAGTTACTGCTATTATCATAATTCCTAGAAAACTTGATAATTTTTCTGCTACCTGAAATATTCCTAGTCTCATCCGTTAAATTACCTAACCTTTCAGAAACTATATTACTGTCTTTAGACCTCCAATACGAAGACAGCGATACAGTTTCCAAAAGGTTAGGTAATTTACTGGATGAGACTAGTAATATTTTAGGTAGTGAGAAAATTATCAGGTATTTTAGGAATTATAATAATAGCAGTAATAAATATACTTATCTTTTTCATATGCAATATAGTATGTTGACTAAATAAGAGAAAAGTGTAAGTTAAAGCTCTATTTATATAATAGTACAGTTTATAGTTTATGAACTCAATTTCTGAAAAGTTTTCAAGAATTAAAAACCTTTTTTTTGAATATTTCATATTCGAACCTGAACATGTTTGTGAACTTCGAACTGAACCCAAACCAAACTTATTACTGTGTTCGAGTCTGGTTTGGGTTTGGGAATTATGAGTTTGAGTTCAGGTTTGAAATTAGTAAAAATTGCTGTTCGAGTTCAGTTCGGGTTCGGGTTCGACCCGAACCGAACCGAACCCGAACTGAACATCGGAACCCTACACTACACGAACGTTTAAAAATTGGATCACCTTCAAGTTAAAATATTTCGATAAATTATTATATTAACGTTGGGTAAAAATTGAAATATATGTAGTTAGAAACCGGCACTTTAATCTGAATCAAACAACTCAAAATTTTTAAAAAATTGTCAACAGACCCATTTTTCTAGACCATGAACCATTTATGAGTAGTGAGTGCTCCGAACTGATTAGCTAGAATACTGATACCTCGATACTTTAGTATCACTTTGTTATCACCTAATTTTGCGATCGATACGTAGAAAAATAAATTCTCTATAACTTTGCTTATTGGGCGAATACTAATTAAAAATGCTAATTTTTTACATATTTTTTCATAAATTTATATTTTTTTTTCATAAATTTATGTTTTTCATGTACGTAACTTATGTAACCGAACCTACTGTTAATATGGTTATATATATGCATACGTATTTTATTCAAGTTTTTACTATTACCAATTTATAAGTATGTATACGTATGAAAAAGTCATGTGGATGGGAGTAAAACGTATTTGGTCGACAAGATTTTGAAGCAAGTTTAGAAAACTGTATATGTTTATATTGATGCCTAAAACCAATGTTTTGTCTGTTTTTAGAAAGGCTAACGCTAAATTTTTTAAATTACTGAACAAGTTTTTTATAATAAATTAAAAAAAAATAATATCTGTGGTTTTAGTGATATGAATTGAATAAGAAAATTCATTGATGCCCGAAGCATGGGAGTCAGTAAGATTAGTCCACGTTAAAAAGAATGGCGTTCAATAGGAATTGATCATCACCATATAAAGATACAAATTTTTTAGCCAATCAAACATAAAAAAGTAAAGCCTCACCTTTCTCACTTAAAAACATCCTCATTCCTTATATTCTTGAAACTTTATCCTCCTTTTACTGTTTAAAAATATGGAGATCGGACTATTGACAGCATATGCTGCCTTGGGTATCATGGCAATAGTGCCGATATACTTTGGTTCATTTGCCTCGGTCAAGTGGCCTAAGGTTTAGTATTTTGTCTAAATTAATTAGTTGATCTAAGGCTTTGAAGTACGATCTTATATTATATTAAAAGGTTTAAACTTCCAATTTATATATATTCCACCAGAAAATCAAACAAAAACAAGACCCCGGTCGTGATGCAGATTCTTCTTCAGAGGAGGAATCAGCATCTGAATCTCTATCAACTGAAGACGCTTACCTCTTTCCTATCTTTGGTTCAGTTGTGTTATTTTCTTTATATTTAATATTTAAATTATTGGATAAGGAATATGTAGATTACCTTGTGACTGCATACTTTTCTTTTTTGGGTGTAGTTGCTGTAACTAATGTTGGAGTTCAGGTTATAAAAAATGTTGGCAAATTTAAATTTGACGCTTATAAACTTGCATTAACCAAAAAAGCTAAAGGTTTGTTTGTTTAAACCTTTCCATTTCTAAATATATTCAATATTATTTTTTTTTTAATAGATATCTTTTTTTTTGATTAACATTTATTTCTCCATAATTCTAGAACTTTACACTGCCAACTTCACTGTTATACATCTCGTGTCGCTTTTCTTTTCCATTATACTTACCGCTTTTTATGTGGCCACTAAAAATTGGGTTGCTTCAAATATTTTTGGACTTGCTTTTGCTTTTAACGCAATTCAGATGTTATCATTGGATTCTTTCAAAACTGGCATGATTCTTCTTGGCGGTTTATTCTTCTATGATATATTTTGGGTATTTGGTACTGAAGTTATGGTCACTGTGGCAAAGAGTTTTGACGCTCCAATTAAAGTTGTATGGCCAAAACAGTGGACCACATTACAACCTGATGAGGCTTTGCAATTCACAATGCTTGGTTTGGGTGATATTGTTGTTCCTGGTAAGATATTCTTAAAAAAAAAAAAAACAAACACATTTAATTTAAATGTATAATAATTTAGGAATATAAATAACAATGTGATCTTGTAATTTTAGGTATTTATGTTGCCCTATGTCTTCGCTTCGATCATAGCAATTACATAAAAAAGAACCCTAATGCGAGTAGATACTCTACTTTTCCTACTCCTTATTTTCGGAACTGTTTTACTGCATACATACTGGGACTTGTTACAACAATAATAGTCATGCACACATTTAAAGCTGCTCAACCCGCATTGCTTTATCTTTCTCCTGCATGTATATTATCTGTTCTTATTACTGGGATCATGAAAGATCAATTAAAAGATGTTTTTAGTTATTCTGCTGATGATAAAAAAGATGAAAAGAAAAAGAAAAACATAGATCATACTAAGAAGCAAGTATCAAGTGAAAGTGAGGGTGAAGAAGGAAATTTCAAGAAACGCAATATCCAGGGTGATGACGACAATTCTGGAATAAGCGCTGTCCTTACCGCAGAAGCAGAAGAAGAAGATTATGTTGAAGTATCATCCACGTCTTCAACAAGCGGTATTAAAAATAAGAAAAATAAGAAAAAGGCTTCTAAAAAGAAAACGGGTTAATTACAAAATGAAAATGGGTTAATAATGACTAGTTTTGTTACTTTATAATCATTTAGATAATAAATTAGAATAGGTAAGCAATAATAATTGCTTGATATAATAACACCGAGCTTAATCGCTTAAAATCATTTGTTTTTTGGGTATGAAAAGAGAAATGGTATATTAGATTTGATTTACCTTAATAAGAGACTTTATGTTGTCTATCATTGAATACGTATGTAAACACGTTAATTTTTTTATAATATTTATTATGAAAAATAGTACTCATGGATCTTTTTAAAGGATATGTGAATAATCTTGGCAATTTTGTGAACTTAAATATGTTTTAATGCTGAATTTTGTCACAAAAATTGTACATAATAAACCATCATGATTTTCATTTTCGAATTTTTTTTCGCTTCTGTAAAATTGGTCTTTAAATTATACAATACTACAAAAAGGGTGCAACTTTATCTTTGTACATACTGTATACATACATAATACTTGAAATGTAAGTCTTTCGAACAATTACATAAACATAATTAAAGTTTATTTTTGTTTTAGAAAATCTGATTTCTCAATGTTAACTTATAACAGCTCTCGTGATTTGAGAACATTTCTATAAATATAAATAGATATGATATTGGTTATTTTTTTAAAAATTAATATAAATCATTATTTTATAAGATAAATAATACCTATTTTTAGAAACTTTTTGTTTCAGTCAACTGACAGTAGTATGTTTATTAATTCTATTAATTCTATAAAATTAAGAAATTTAATAGCATAAAATAATTTATTAATAAAAAGGTTTTTATTGTAAATTATTAGAGAATTAATATAGTAGAATCTTTTAGTTGTTTATTAGTAAAATTAATATTCTTTTTATTGCAGTTGCTAAAAAGCATATTTTGAAATTTTAATTTATTGTTGGTAGATTATAATAAACTAGATTTAGTTTTAACAAAATCATAAAGCTGTAAAAATAAATCTAAAATTCTTTAATAAATACAGAAACTGCTATTATAATTAGAAACTTTCTGTGTATAAACCCTATTCATATATGGTACCACATATTAAATCTAATGAATTCTACTAGTCAAGAATACTACTTTGATATTGAAAAAAGAACAATAAGATTTTAATTAATTCATATATCGGATGCCCCTATATACACGTTCCTAGGTCAAGTAAAATTTTTTAAAAAATCAAATACTATTATATATAATCCAACCAGATCAAAAAGTTTTTTTTTAAACAATACTTATATTAAATATATAATATTTTGTAAATAAAATTTTTTTAAAAAGCCGATCAGCTGGGTCTGATTTAAAATTTCATGTTATGAAGACCAAGTAATTGGCCTAATACTAAAAAAATAATAACAATTCAAAGTTTGATTTAAATGTATTTTGCAACGCTTATAATAATTGTACATTTATTGTTAATATGTTGACCTTATTTAAAAAAAAAAAAAAAAAAAAGACTTATAATTAATCCATTAAAATAACAGTGATTCATAGCAAAGCAATGTACATAGTTTTCATATGGTCAAATTATGGTGGTTAATTACCAATAGCTAATATTTTTATAGATAAAAAGTAATCAGATATTTAATATTTGACTAATCTTCCATTAGTTTAAACTACGAACGTTTAAATTAAATCAGTAAAGAGCTACAGTATATGACATACAATATAAATCAAAAAATGCCATTACCAAATCATCAGTAGCCATTGCATCTTCATCCATTGTATCAATATTAGATTTCTTTTCTAAAGGTTGAAGAAACTTTTGAAAAAAAAAATAATAATAATAATTAAATTGCATAATTTATATAATTTATATAATTCCAATGCAATATATATTTATAATATATACTAACTTCTTCGGCTTCCTGAATTGACGTAGTACTATCTGACGCCTCATCCTGGCTTATTAAAGTTATTTTCTCATGAACAATCAAATCCCAAAAATCTGTTTTAGAGGGTTGTGCAATAAAGCATGTAGTCTTCAATTCGTTGAGGAAATCATTAAATCTCGATGTTTCATTTTCCTAATTAATATATAGATAAATTATAATTATGCGATTTATAGAATATACAGTGCGGGGATAGCATTAATTGGCACCTTTTTTATATAATAGGTGCCAAATTTAAAGGTTGCATAAGCAAAATAATCAAATTTGATTGGCTAATTTTAATATAATCAATTATGATTGGTTAAAAATTTATATATAAATATATTAAATGTCAAATAAAAAAATTTGTTTTAACTAAATTATAATTTAGGCAATTATTAATAATTTGGCTAAAAAATTATTTTATATTATTTTTTTTAAAAAAATACATATAAAAAAGGTGTTGATTTATGCTGTCCTGCACTGTACATAATTAATT